AGTTGATGAACCAACAAAACCTAACCTCTTTCTTGTTCATGGATTTGGTGCCAATGCAATGTGGCAATATAGTGATCTTCTACGACATTTTACTCCTCATTTTAATGTCTACCTTCCTGATCTCCTCTTCTTTGGTGCCTCCTCCACCAAACGCCCTGAAAGGACCGAGAGTTTTCAAGCAACATGTGTTAAGAAATTGATGGAGGTTCATGGTGTTGTTAGGACGAGCCTTGTAGGTATTAGTTATGGAGGGTTTGTTGGTTATAGCCTTGCAGCTCAATATCCAGAGGCAGTCGAGAGATTGGTCTTGTGTTGTGCAGGTGTTTGTTTAGAGGAAAAAGATATGAAAGATGGATTGTTTCAGGTTTCTGATTTGGATGAAGCTGCTAGCATTTTATTGCCACAAACACCTGAGAAACTAAGAGAATTGATGCGTTTTTCATTTTTTAAGCCTGTTAAAGTCATGCCTTCCTACTTCCTTTCTGATTTTATAGACGTAAGTGTGTGTATACATATCAATGATATAGGCTATACGTACAATATATGTTATCACACAAGTGTTTACATTATACAGGTGATGTGCAACGATTATGTAAACGAGAAAAGAGAGCTCATACAAAATTTACTAAGAGATAGACAACTTTCCAATCTACCTAAGATTTCCCAGGTTTGCATTTTCCTAACTTTTTCTCATATGTACTAGTCTTTATTTTCACTATTTCTTTTGGTTTCTTTCTTATTCCCAATAGTCGACGTTGATTATTTGGGGAGAACAAGACAGGATATTCCCATTAGAACTGGGGTACAGACTGCAGAGGTAACAAAAACATACTCATGTTTTGTTTTCATAGACTTTATTTCGTTGCTGATGTTATAACACTAAATGATAGGCATATAGAAGGGAATGCTGAGTTAGTAGTTATCAGAAATGCGGGGCATGCAGTCAACTTGGAGAAACCAAAGGAGTTTACTAAACAATTGAAGGCATTTCTTGTTGATAATTGATAATTTGGACAACCATTCTGCAGCTAGTGACGAATTTAGTATTCAAATTTAAAATGTTTAACTGCTTTGATAACTGTCAGAATTTTTCAAAGACAAGTAGAAAAGAAAAAGATTATAAGATGATGTAAAATTGAACTGTACATTTGTGCCATAAAATTCATTGCCTGGTGTCAGCATTGGTGTTTCTGATAATTGCTTCAGAACATAATAAACCTACAAAAGAAAGAGTTAAAACATTGATGTCACCTGATAAGTGATAAGCTTATTTGAAAAGCTCTAAAATCCCGCAACTGCAATTTTTCAGTATTATTGACCAGATAACAACCAAAGGTTGCTCAGGACAGTACGTACAATATGCTCATAGTAACATCGAAGCAGTTCAATTTGACAGGGATTCTGTCCCTGAATCTACAACAGTCATATTCAAACTAATTAACTTTGAATTGAAGTCCTAAACTACTAATGTATCTCATCTTATCTGCATCAACCATAACCAGTAGCTTCAAATTCAAACTGATCTAGCCGATTCAATGGAGGTGAGTAGAGATCCTACAGTAACGGATACATTATTCCAACCAACCAATTTCACCCCAAAGTCACGTGTTAGCATTTCTATCCTGCTCAGATCCCCTTCTAATTTGCTTAGCTCCAGCACTAGTCTTCGGGAGAGCAGGCTATATAAATGTAAAGATCTCTCCCCTTGCAATTCAACTCGTATTAAGCAATTAGACTCCAGGTCAGTTGACATAGGATCATACAACACAGAGAAATTCCCAAATTTAAGGTCTGGGGTATCAAAGAACTTATCAACAACACTAGTGTTCTCTTGACTGCAAGTGTTTGATGTATCAGCTGGAGATATCCTTCTATCAGTAACTCTCAGTATGTGGGCAGCCTCTCTCATCCCACTAAGAAACGCCCCGTGCATGGTTGCAGGATACTGTTTACTAGTTGCTTCACCTGCAAAGAAAAGTCGGTCTCCTACACTCTCAGCAAGGATGTCATAATCATCCCCTGAGGCTCCGATTGCAACATAGGAATAAGAACCATAACTTAACTGATCCTGTCCCCAACGCGTACAAACTGCTTGAAGTGGATCTGGAACAGCAATTCCTTTAGGACTGTATATGCCCTTCAGAATTTCCAGAACCCTCACAACAGATTCAAGAGGAGATATCTTTTCAAATTTGACTGCTGCTTCTCCGGCTACAAGAGCAATTAGAAGTGGTCCACCTGAAACTGAAGAATAACTATAGAACAGGAAAAACTCACCCCTCATATTCGGGTCATCAGTCAAGTGTCCAAAAGTATCAATCTCCCCACCCCAAAAGTCATAGGGAAAAAGAATTGCAACTTTATTCAACAATCCAAATCCTAATCTTTCAATTGCATCTTTCTTGCGCTGAGGAAGCTCTGGTACAAACTCAATGTTACCCTTCTTAAGCACTCCCAGGGGAACTGTACATAGAACCATATCCCCATGATATTCCTGCCCACCAGCATACACCAAAACCCCCTCAGTACCATATCTTACACTTTCAACCGTCCGATCATAAAAAATAGGAATATCCTCTGCCAAAGCCCGAATTAACCTCTCATTTCCTCCAGGGATGAAACAATGATCACCCCCCATTTCATAAGGATCATCCTGGTCCCAAAACGCCATAGACAAATTAGACATTAACGAAGCATTAGCATACTCCAAGTTGGCTAAATGCCAATCCAGAAGCATTTGCTCTTGGGGATCCTCTGCCACTCTATACACATGCCTAAAAGCCTCTAATGCAGTACCTAACGAAACATCTACACTCTTAACCTCATCCAACATTGCCTGCCTAAGTTTACACACCCTATCTAATAATTTATTAAAAGATGCTTCAACTTTGGAATCCATATCAGGATTGACAGTTCTACCGTTTGGCAAATACAAAGGGCATATATCTCTCACCTTATGAAGTGGAACACCTAGCTGCCTTGCGAGAACACCCAACGGATTACCATTTATTCCAGTTAACACACTTCCACCTAAATCTGCAGCAGCAACAACCCCATTTTGTCTACCTGTCATTTTCTTGGATCGCACTCTACCACCAGGTCTACCCCTTCCTTCAAGAACCACAACTTTAAGTCCTAAAGAAATCAATTGCCTCGCAGCAACTAAACCCGATAGCCCCGCACCAATAACGATCACATTCCCCTTTGAGGCCCCTTCAGGTGGCTTAAATTTCACTTCTTTTATCGCTGGAGCTACACCAAAATTGATATATCCGTGATGTAGCAGAAAGGAGAAAGCAGAATGCACAAGATTTTTATGTTCAGCTCGTATGGATTCCAAAGCATGTTCTTTTGTGAGCCAAACAGTTACATTAGACCGCCAACGTGCCAGAATGTGGTTACGCACGACAATGTAATTGGCTTGTTCAATGCCCCCAATTTGAGAAACTACATTAGCTTCAATTTCTTCCTCTGTAAGAGAATCGACGGGGAACCCAACAGAAATAGCAATTAAGGCCTCAACATCGACTTCTTTAGCAAGATCAGACATCCTTCTCCGGCGATTGTGATTCTTAGAGGGGTCATCTCCGGTGGCTAATTCCGTCTCGGAATATGAATAAGCAGTGGAGGGTTTAGGGTTAGGGCGGAGAACACGAAGGCCGTTCACGGCGGCGGCGGAAACTGAAGGCGGAATCAAGTCAGTGAAGAATCGTTTTCTACGACGTCGTCTTTTCACTTGGGGTGGGGTGACTCCGGTGGGAGGCGGCAAGTCGGAGGATATTTTCGTTTCGGATGATTTTGGGAGGTCGTCAAGCTGAGAGTCTGAAACGGCAGCTTCGGGTGTCGTTTGGGGAGGGGATGAATTAGCATTGTGGTGGTTGTCTTGACGGAGATTTTCGTCGGAGTTGACAGTGTGGGATGTTTCCGACGGGTGTCCGGCGGGTGTTTCCATTGAGGAATAGAGAAGTTGAGTAGAGGTTAAAATTAGGGTATAAAATAAATGAAAAATCAATAAAACGAACGAATTAAATCAAATACTTAAAAATCGATAAATACAAATAATTAAATAGAGGATTTTGATGTTTTCTATTTTGTCCTTTTATTCAATTTTGAGTTAATTTTTTTTGTAAAAATTATGTAAATCACATAGTGTAAAACATAAATTACCTTCTATCCCTACTTTTTTTCAATTTAAAACAGTCGGATACATTCTATATTATGCTATTTTATCCGTTTGTTGAGTGATTTGGGGGATTAAAAACTGAAATTTGAATTAATTCCTACTTTTAATATGCTACAGTTATTAATCCCAAAAAAAAAAGCATTAACTTGTGTGTTTCAAGATCAGTTTTATCCAATATAAAACTCTAAATTAAATTATAATTTTTTATTAGTGATCTTCCCTTTTTTTTTGGTAGACTAATTCTTTTTTTTTGTTAAACACTATTTAAATTTTATATTATATTTATATATCAAATACTTTATTTTATAATATTTGTTCAAACTTACTTTAATCAATATTAATTGCGGATATTTCACCCAAATTATTGTCAGTTCTAATTTAATTTAATTTAGTAATATAGTATCATGTGTGTAGATACTTAAAAAAATTTCATATTTTGAAGGACAAATAATTGTTCGTAATATATATAAATCATAGTACTGAATATATCTTATTTGTACAAAAGATATTAATTTTTTTTAAAAAAAAAACTGGCGTGTATCTAGTGTAATAACTAGTATCACTGTTTGTGATATTATATATTTTGATATTTCATGTATCATATACAAAATATAATTACGTATATAATTTTCTTTTTTTGTATCATGCAATATATTTACGTATATATAATAAGTGTTTTTTTATGACAATAATTACATTAATGTAATTATTATTATAGTTTTGATACAATAATGGCATTCATGTCCCAATAACAGTATACATAATTCCTGAATTCATAACGGTAATAAAAATAAAATAAAAGTAATAGAATAAATAATTTTAAAAATCAAAACACTTTCATAATTTAACAATATGTGTTGTTATGTTAATAAATACTTCAAACATCTTGTTTAACTCCAAAAAACAAAAAAAAATCAAACATTGAAAACTAACTAGCCTACATTAACAATTTCATCTTCAGATGATGGGTTTAATACATTCTTCATTCTTGAAGGGTCATCACTGTTGCTAACATATCCAACATTCATCTTGTCGAGACCATACTTCAATAAAAGAATCACATATCTTTTGCGAAGATAGCTACTCTTAAAACTATTATATGACATGTTGATTTTGTCACTCAGAATTCTGCATATACAACTACGAATAGTCCGCAATCACTACAAAAACAATAAGAATAATTATAAGGATGAATAGATACAAAAAATAAAATAAAATAATAAACAATACTCACAGGCTATCACTTATTTGTTGCATGTTGTCTTGAGCAAACTCCACATTAAACGAATGTTGTGGACCCAAAAGTTCTCCAGTTTTCTTGTCTTTATATGCATCCAATGCTGCCCAATCTGTTCTAACAACATATCATAAGTCAGTCAAAATGATACTTAACAGACACTTTATAGCCTAACATGATACAAAAAATGCAAAGTTGTACTTGATACATAAAGGTAACTACAATTATAAGTCTGTCTACTTGATACTAACATGATACAAAAAATGCAAAGTTGTTAATATGATACATAAAATGCAAAAATAAACTTGATACATAATTCTAACAACATATCATACGTCAGTCAAAATGATACTTAACAGACACTTTATAGCTTAACATGATACAAAAAATGCAAAGTTGTACTTGATACATAAGTGTAACTACAGTTATAAGTCTGTCTACTTGATACTAACATGATACAAAAAATGCAAAGTTGTACTTGATACATACGTGTAACTATAGTTATAAGTCTGTCTACTTGATACTTTATATAAACGACAAACTTTAACATGATACATGAAACATAAATTGTGCTTGATACATAATTGTAACAACACAATGCAAACCAATTATGCAAGCTCTTAGACTTGTTTTCAACCAATTTCGAATCTTCAAAAATATAGATTTGTTTAGAGTTTGAAGTGATTATTTAAGTAATCCCAATACTAAATGACAGATGATCCATGAAATATTAGAAAAATAGAATAATGAAAAGAGAGAATCGAAGAAGAACACAATATCTTTCAAGAATATTGGACGAAAATGGCGGACAGAGTAGACGAAATTGGCGATTTGATTTTTTAAGGCGGACAGAGTAGACAAAAATGGCGGACAGATTAGACGAAGACGCACGGACGGAGAGCACAATTTTGATTTTCAAAGGCTGACAAAGTAGACAAAAATGGCGGACAGATTAGACGAAGGCTGACGGATGGAGAGCACAAATTTTGATTTTCAAAATTGAGAAGATGAACCGTTGAGAAATTGATGCATTAATTTTGGGAGTGGTGTAAATGGGTTCTTTATTTGGGGAAAATAAAGAGTAAAATTAGGGATAAGATTTAATTGGTTAGGATTTATTAGGATTCTAATTTAATAATGTATCTGTTAAATTAGACTTATTAAAAAATAGGGATTTTAGTATTTTTTAAAAAAATAAGGGAAATATGGAGAATATGTAAACTTAAGTTGTATATTCAGGTAATTAATCCATTTTTTTTAATCGAGTAGTATTATAGTGTGTTAATATAATGTAAAATAGAGTGTATTAATAATGTTTATATTAATAAAGTATGTATTAGTTATGTTTTCATTAATTATACATAAATTATATTTATGTATTTTTTGATTTGATGCATTAAAAAAAAGCATTACATTAAAAAAATTATTTATAACCTCTTGAATTATTTTAATTAAGTGTTTTATTTATTTTCTTGATTTTATGGTTTATATTTGTACTAGTAAATTTATTTAAATAAATTAGCTTACAAATTATTTAGAGAAAGTTCTTTGTTACTGAATAAACTCAATACAAATTTGAAATGTGAGTATATGACCTTTGTGATATATATATATATATATATATATATATATATATATATATATATATATATATATATATATATATATATATATATATATATATTTGTGTAGTTTTCTAATTATTTGTATTTTGAACAATTTAAAACATACATGCATATTATAACTGCAACTTGTAATTTTTATGTGTAAATGTAGATCGTTTATTCAATTTTATCATTATTGACCGTCTTTTTAATTTTAAATGTAGATGATTTATTTTTTTTAAATTGAAAAATGACATTTTATTAGTGATCAATTTATTAAGATGACAATTATTTATTCTCAAATAATTCAAGTGAAAAAATAGCAAACATGATAACAAAATTGTTCCTCTCAGAAGGTAGTTAGAAGGCCATAAAAAAGAATTTTTTCCTGGAATTATCTACCTTGACACAATTACCTAATAATTCAAGGGTATAATTGGAAAGAAAAGATTTTATAGAGTTTTAATTCAAACACAAGATGAGGTGAGAAATAATGAATCAAACACTTGATAGAAATAAACTCTGCATTACTAATCCTTACACTACTAATCCTACATTACTAATCTTTGGTACAAGTATTAATAACGCATGGATTAGTGATGAGGGAATTAGTAACACAGAGATTAGTAATGCAGGATTTATTTTTTATCAAGTGTTTGGTTCATTTTTTCACACCTCATCTTGTGTTGGATTATACCTTTATAAAAGCTTATTTTCAATTATACCCTTGAATTATATAATTGTCGGACAATATTTTTTTTTTATAATCTTCTAACTAGTTACGGGAAGAACAATTTAGTTGTCTTGTTTGTTATTTTTCACTTGAATTATTTAAGAATAAATAATTGTCATCTTAATAAATTGATCACTCACAAAATGTCATTTTTCAATTAAAAAAAAATAAACCATCTACTTTTGAAATAGAAAAAACGGACAATAATGGTAAAATTGAATAAATCATCTACATGCACATGTGTGTGTGTGTATACATACACACACACACACACACACACACACACACACACACACACACACACACACATACACACACACACACACACACACACACACACATATATATTCAAACTTCATATACAGATATACAATTCACATACATTCAAATTTGTATTGATTTTTATTGGATTTATTAGTAACAAACGAATCTCTCTAAATAATTTGTAAGCTACTTTATTTAAATAAATTTACTAATACAAATATAAATCATAAATCAAGAAAATACACAAAATAATTAAAATAATTTGAGTATTTTTGTCTTTACAGAGGCTTATCCCATTGATATTATATCTTCTGTATTACTAATACCTCCAAATGGAAAACATTAGTAATATATCCTATAATACCATGTATGAGGTATAACTAATCTATGGATTAGTTATACATAGGCTCAAATTCCTACCAAACATGGTACTAATAATACCTTACATAATCCATGAACTATTTCTTCAAATGCAACCTACCAAACGACTCCTTAGGGGCAGTTTGATCATTGGTTAGAGTTGTGCAGGTATTAGCTATGCAGGATTTAGTTATGTAGGTATTAGTTATACAATGATTAGTTATGCATGTATTATTTATGTAGGGTTTAGTCATGTTGAATTTAATTATTCGAGTATTAGCTGATGTATTGTGGTTTCACGGTACTTTCAAAGCTTTTTCCTTAAGTTTAGTGTGTATCTAAGGCCTTTTTGGATTGGTTTTAATGTAGTTTTCTCTTTGTTTGCAGGAAATCTGTCCAGAAGGAGAACGTGGGAGAATTGTGCTAAAAATTGCAGAAGTAATGACCTACGGAGCCATCGACGGTCCATCGTGACCTCGACGGTTAGTAGGTGGACACCTTCGTATGGAGAAAAAGGCTGCTAAAGTAAGTTGGAGAATTCTGACCAAATGTGGGGTTACGGAGGCTCTCGACGGACCGTCATAGCTATGACGGACCATCCTGCACATCCGTCAATGTTAACAGAAAGTAGCCCTAGTTAACCATTTTCAAAGGATTCTGCATGCAACGAACCATCATCCATGTCCGTTGATGGTAACAGAAAGTTGGTGAAGAAAGCAGCAGAAAAGAAAGTTAAGTATGGAATGACGGAGGGTCTCAATGGTCCGTCATGACCTCGACGGTTCGTCGCTCCAGTCGTCGACTCAGATGCATTTTTTGGGCAGATTTTCCTTAAATAGATTTCTCTTTTGTTAGGACTCTATTATTATAAATACTTATAAAAACCTCGTTTTGGGGGTTAGACTCTGAGATTTTTGCTAGTTTTATTGTTCTAAAGTATTGAAGTTTGGAATTTTGTGAAAATTACTTTATTTTTCAGAACCGTTTGTTGCAAGTTTTTGATTAATTGAAGTAATCTTCTGGATTTTCTACAATCTCATCAAAGTAAGTGCATGAATTCTTATCTAATTAATATGAATTGTGTGATTATTAACATGGGTAACTAAACTCCATAACTAGGGTTGTGGGAACCATGGGTAAATAATAAGGTAAAACCTAGCTAAAATAACAATTCTCGAATAGTGTCTTGCATGTATTGATAATTCTTTCATTTAGAGGTCTTTTTAACGAGTGCACGCATTAGAACTCGCCTTGTTGCTACTTGCCGGACCAAGGAGGTAGATAATAAGAAAAGAATTATCGTTGTAGATTTAGTATACGCTATCTAATAGGCTAGTGTCGATTGGTGCGAAGTAACAACTAAGCCAAACATCGATTATGATGCTTAATATGAGGTAAAGGTAAGGTTTAGTAAAACATACACACGTAGCCGGACCAAGGTACAAAGTTAAATTTCCTAGTTGCCGGACCAATGAATTAGGGATACATAACTTACCACTTTGCATGTAAGATACTAGGAAATGATTGTTATAGCTAAAATTACCGCGTTATGAACCTGTGGGGAACACTTAACCCCTAGTTACTCTCATTATTTGATAAAAAATCAAATCTTTGAACCTGTTACTTATTTACTTAGAAATAGTTAATTACAGTTATTGCTTAAAAACCCCCTTTTGTTATTTGTTTCTTGGAAAGGACTTGACTAAATAAAAGTAATAATAGATTAAAGTTAAGTCTAAATCATTTTCCTCGTGGGATCGACCCAACCTCATAGTTGGATTCTTTACTTGATACAACCACTTATACTTCTTTTCGAGTAATAAATTTGAGTGTATCAAATTTTGGTGCCGCTGCAGGGGAAAGTGTGTTTTAGATTAACTTTAAGCTTATTACCAAAGTTTAGTCAATATTTTCCTAATTTTACTTATTGTTTTTGTTTTTGTCTCTGGCAGATCTAACTTCCATGTATGACAAATACGTGGAGTAGAGGAGAACTCATACTCTCACCCGACCCCGAATTAGAGAGTACACTGCACATAATGAATTGAAATTTGCTCATGATAAACTATTACCTGAATATCGTCGGGAAGGTGAAGTACGTAGGCAACCTCTCGCTCCACTCCCTCAAGAGTATTATAGGGGACATGATAAAATTAATGACTCTGACGGGCCACTTGTCTTGCCTCCCCTACCATATGGTCATACATTCGTGGTAACTAGTAGTCTGATGCAAATGCTCATCGCTAGAGGTTTGTTTTCTGGTCTACCTTCTGAGGATCCACATGCTCACATCGCCAAGGTGAGGTCAGTGTGTAAGAGTTGTGTAGGGAGGCCTGATTTGAATATGAACGTAACTGGGTTGAGAGTGTTTCCTCTCTCACTGACGAGAGGGGC